TTTTACTGACCACATCAACTCTGTGGATAAATACATCAAGTTCACACGAGAAGATGTAAAAAATGGCAGGTTGGCTTTCTTGGACTGTGAGGTCTCAGTCTCTGATAGAGGACATTTGCAAACCGAGGTGTACCGCAAACCCACCCACACAGACCAGTATTTGCAGTTTGACTCCCATCACCCTTTGGAGCACAAGTTAGGAGTCATCAGGACTCTGTATCACAGAGCAGACAGTGTCCCCACTAGCTCAGGAGCCAGGCAGAAGGAGAAATCCTACACAAGACAGGCTCTAGAGCAATGTGGATATCCTAACTGGGCCTTCCTGAAAGCAGAGAAGAAACCCAAACAGGACTCCAGTCAGCCATCAGGTGAAAAGGAGGAACCCAGACCCAGACCAGTGGTCATTCCGTATGTTGAGGGGGTATCAGAGAAACTGAGACGTTTATTTTCTAAACATAACATCCCAGTGGCTTTTAAACCCCAAAATACATTACGGCAAAGACTGGTTCATCCCAAAGATCCAGTCCCCCGGCACAAACAGAGCAATGTTGTGTATGCTGTTCAGTGTCAGGAGGGCTGTGATCAGTCTTACATCGGGGAAACTAAACAGCCACTGGCCAAAAGGATGGCCCAGCACAGAAGATCAACATCATCAGGCCAGGATTCTGCTGTCTACACTCATCTCCAGGCCAGCGGTCACTCTTTCAAGGATGAAGATGTTCACATCCTGGACAGAGAGGAACGATGGTTTGAGAGAGGAGTAAAGGAGGCCATCTTTGTGAAAAGAAATCGTCCATCGTTAAACAGGGGTGGAGGCCTCCGGGTTCAACTGTCCCCCTCTTACAATGCTGTGATTGCTAGTATCACTCAGCCCTCTGTGAACAGTAAACAGCCATCAGTGTGCTAATGATCCATTGTTAGGCTGATGGTCCTTCTTGAGCATGTGATCAGCTGGTTTTGGTTGTCAGCAGCAAACTGGTTGATCCACTCTGAGAAGGTGCTATTTAAGAGACTGAGCTGAAAACAGCACCTCAGACTGAGGAAGTCTCTTGGATGAGAGACGAAACGTTTCTATATTTTTTTGCTTTGTTTTGTTTTTTGTTTTTTTGAATGTCCAGAGGACCAGATTGAACTTTTTTGGATTTTTCTACCTGGATTATTGAGCATGCATCAGGACACAACAAAACTGATTCTTCCCCCAACAGCTTATTCCAAAGTGGAACAAACCAGTTATGTTGGTGCTAAGATGGTCTCTTTGGCACACCCCCTACTCTGGAGCCGGCCCTCTTCCTGGTCAACAGTCATGTCAAACTGGTTCAAAACCAAAAAAGTCCATGCTCAATAATCCCAATAGTCCCTTCTCGACCCTCTGCAGTTTGCCTACAGAGCCAACAACAGGTCTGTAGATGATGCCATAAACCTGGCCCTCCACTTCACCATGCAGCATCTGGACTCTCCAGGAACCTATGCTAGGATTCTGTTTGTGGACTTCAGTTCTGCATTTAACACCATGCTTCCTGTTTTGCTCTAAGACAAGCTCTCCCTGCTCCATGTACCTGACTCCACCTGCAGGTGGATCACAGATTCCTAACAGACCGGGGTCAGCGGGTGCAGCTGGGAAAATTTGTCTCGGACACTCAGACTTTAAGCACAGGATCTCCACTGGGCTGTGCACTTTCCCCTCTGCTCTTCTCCCTGTACACCTACTGCTGCACCTCCGGCCATGCGTAAAGCTTATTAAATTTGCGGACGACACCACCCTCATCAGGCTCATCTCAGATGGTGATGAGTCTGCCTACAGGAGGGAGGTGGACCAGCTGGTGACCTGGTGCAGCGACAACAACCTGGAGATTAATGTCCAGAAGACAGTGGAGATGATTGTGGATTTCAGGAAAGCCACAGTCCCCCCCCCCCCCCCCCCATGATATCCCCATCATCACTGTGGACTGTTATCGGTTTCTCGGCACCACCATCAGCCAGGACCTCAAGTGGGAGCTAAACATCAGCTCCCTCATCAAGAAGGCTCAGCAGAGGATGTACTTCCTGCAACAGCGGAGGAAAGCCAAGCTGCCGGCCAAGCTGATGGTGAAGTTCTACACGGCCATCATAGAGTCCATCCTTTACTCTTCCATAACGGTGTGGTACGCCGGGGCCACTGCCAGGGACAGACACAGACTGCAGCACATTATGCGCTCTGCGGAGGAGGTAATCGGCTGTAGCCTCCCATCTATCCATGACCTGTATGTTTCCAGGACTGTGGGGCAAGCAGGTCGGATTACAGCTGACTCTTCTCACCCTGTATATGGACTATTCGAACCACTCCCCTCGGGCAGGAGGCTTCGGTCCATTTGGACCAGAACCTCCCACCATAAGAACAGTTTCTTCCCCTCTGCCATCGGACTCTTGAACACTCATAATCACGTTACTTTATAACTCTGCCTTGGTCACTTTATCACTGTATTTTAACTGCACTACTCCAATTGCACGTTTTTTCTGAGTATTGATTGTGTTATATTGGTGTACATGTTTTCTTTCATCTTTTATATTTTATTTGCACCTTTATACCGAAGCAAGTTCCTAGTCTGTGAATCCTGTTCATTGACAATGGCAATAATAAACTGAATCTGAATCTGAACTGAATTTATGCAGGAAATGCAATTTCTCAAATTGGACTTCATTTTTCTCAAGTATATTTTGTAAAATGCTTGTAAATGTTTTATAATCAAATAAAATCACAAACTGTTATAAGACTTAAGACAAAAAAATAGCAAGAGTAATGAACATGTTCAAGGTACTGTATATCACACAGAAAGACTGTACTTGAGAAATATGTGAATTTAGATTCTTGACTAAAAAGTACTTTGTGTGTGCCCATTGGTAAGTCTTACCTTTACAGGAAGGATGGAACCATCATATTCCAGATTCACTACAGCAACTGTTACTGCAGAAATGTCCTGCAGCAGCTGGATTAAGGTTTGACATGAGATGGGAAGAACACTGGAAAGGGCTGAGAAGACAGTAAACAGATCACTGAATATGAACCTTTTAAGATTTTCCTTCTGGATTCTAGTCTACACACTTTTTGTACAAAAATGTACAACATACATGTTAAGATTTTGATAAAACATTGACTAAATTTAATTGTATAATATTCGTGTTGAAATTAAACTTTTATTATAGAAAAATACTTTGCAGATTTGAAGATATACGTGTAAAATAATCATTATACTTGCCTTTAGCTGGTAGTGCAGAAATAATGTGGTCAGCAAATACTAATCCATCCTCTAAATGGACCTAAACACAAGCAAAAACTACATTAAAGCCCAAGTTTTCTTGCCTTGTCGATCATTACAACACAATTTTTTTATTAAAATAGTCAATTCAACCTGTCAGGGCTACTCAAGCACATTTTATTTCTTTGTCTTTTTATAAATATTAAATAACAAAACAGATTTTAAAGGTCAACAGACCAAGATAGTTGAACATACACAATGAATGCTACATTATTTTAAAAAAGCCTGACAGCATAAATACATTTTTCCTTTAAACAATTTAGAAATTTTCAGTTTTGAAAATAATTAACAGTCAGTGTTAAGCTAATCAGATTTTTTTATTTTCAGATTTTTTAAAATTATTATTATTGTTGTTGTAATGCACAATAATGGCACTACACCTTTTACAAGATGTAGTAATAGGACATTACGCCATTTACAATAATCACTCCATCTATGACAACAGATTAAAAGTGATATGTCAATCAATATTATGCTTTTGTGATTAATTATCCATGCACTGGATTCCACTTATAGTCAGGTCCCAGAGACAACAGGTCCAGGAGGGAAACCTAGGCATCCCTCTCCCTAATGACACTCTCCAGCTCCTCCTGGGGCATTTCCTGAATACAGAGAATATATAATCCCTTCAGCAAGTCCTGGGTTTGCTCCAGAGTCTTCTCTTGGTGGGCTGTACCCAGAAAACCTTTGAACGGAGGCTTAAGGGGAGACTTCCTAAATCATGTCTGAACCATCTCTACTGACACTTTTTGATTAGGAGGAGCAGCTGCTTTTCTCCAAACTCCCCCTAGGTGATGGAAATCCTGACCATGAGCCCGGTCACCTTACACATAATTTCAGCCTTTGGAATCTAGGATATCCATTTTTGTCCATGACTCGTACCTAATGACCACAACTAAGGGTCAGAATGTAGACAACACAGAAAATCAAGACTGTTGCTTCTATACTCAGCTCTTTATACACAATAGTCCAAAGCAAGGCCATCATTACTGCAGATAAGACCAATTCAACAGTCTATTTGATCTCATCTGGTCTTCCTATCAGTTTGTCTCGTCTCCCCATCAATTCATCTTATTAATCAATCCATCTATTTAACCTATTAACCATCCATTGGCTTTGCAGATGTCCATCTTCAGCAGTCACTGGATGAGAGGTGACCTTTTTTTACTTCAACCAATAGCTAAAGTAAAGTTTAATTTGAAGTATCATTACAAAGCCCCTGATGCTTTTGTTTTCCCATTTTTCATTTCAGATATAAAAATGTTCACAAACATGTTATAACTTTATCTAAATATTTAATTTCTGTTAAAATTGCAGGGAGATTAAAAATCTTGTTTAATCAGATAAACTGTGGTCTTAAATCTGTATTGCCACAATAAGACAAGATTCTGCCTGGGGTTCTCACCAACCTTCCAACCAGATGATGAGGGCTTAATCTGTTTGACGGCTGCCTCTCTGTGAAGTTGCACTTTCCCGCTCTGCTGCAGGTACACAGAAATAGATTCTGGTAGAGACTCCATTCCCCTCCTCAGAGACCACTGGGCCCAGGACTCTTCCATAGACCTCTGAGCCAAAGGTCCAGGAGAAACTGTAGGAGTTGGACCTGTGGGTTATTAAGCATATAACTCACTTTGAAAAACTAGCATACAGATCACATTAAATTTAAGGATCACTCTTTCTGTAACTCAACATCTTAACATAGAAAACAGATTTTCAGAGTATCAGATGGTTCTTTCATAAAACAGTTCCGCAAAATGGCCACACAGACCAGCCCACTTTTCTTCTTTCTATTGCCTTTCATAAATCACAGATAAAGCCAGCCACTTCCCATAGTCGTGGGTTTTCAGAAATGAAGCAGGCAGTGTAGAACCAAAAGAGACATGGAGCAGAACACAGATGGGCTGAAGTAGAGCATGCAAATATGTGTCAGCTAGCTCTGTTGTGCCAATTACAAAGTGCAACTAGAAAGTTCCTGGAGAAACTTTGATGGGGACTGCCAGGCTGTGGCTGATTGAAAATCTTGATTTGATAGTAAAAGGTGTTTGTGTTCACTCTCAGCTACTACTATACATAATTTCAGCTGAATAGCTCTAAAAATGGCTGAGTTACAGTCATTTTTGTGTTTGTTGAGATAGCAGTGGCAGCCATCTTGGATCAAAATGGCTCCAAAACTTAATCAGTTCTAGACATTGATCTAATGATTACTTTCTGTGAGTTTCAAACAAATCCAACAGTTAGTTTCTGTTTTCATCAGGAACCTGTTTGTTCACTCTGTCATGTGACTTGACAGCAGCAGTTAATGTGAGGAGTGTTCTCATTAATTTTCTATGAAGAATTTAGTTGTCTTTGTTAGCAAAATATGTCACCATGGTAACATCACGGCCCACCTACATTACCTATGTAGATTGTAAAGAGGGTGGGTCCTAAGACTGAGCCTTGAGGTACACCATTGTTGACTGTTAAATAACTGGAGGAAGTACCATTATGTTGAACACATTGCCTCCGGTCTGAAAGATAGTTAGAGAACCAACCAATGGTGTGTTCTGAGAAACCAATTTCCGAGATCTTATGACACAAGATGTTATGATCCACAGTATCAAAATCTTTAGACAGGTCTAAGAAAAGTGCAGCACAATAATCCTTAGCATCCAGTGCTTCAACGTCATTAAGAACCTTCAGTGAAGCAGTCATGCTGTGTTGTTTCCTGAAAACAGATTGATGGAGAGGTAAGATGTTAAATGAGTACAGGCAATTTTGGATTTGAGAGTTTATCAGTTTTTCTAGAACCTTGGCTAAAATGCAGAGTTTAGAGATTGGTCAATAGTTGTTCAGTGAGGTGGGGTCACCTCCCCTCAGCAAAGGAAGAACAAAGGCTGTTTTCCAAGCATCTGGAATGGAGTTTTGGCTTATGGAAAGATTAAAGATTCAGAATAATTCTTAACTGTGAGGATATGAGCAGCCAGCCTTAAGAAATAAGTTGGAAGTTCATCTGGACCTGCAGATTTTTTAGGATCAAGATCTTTTAACAGTTTATTTACCTCACTAACTGAGAACGGAGAAAAAGAGAATGTGTGATTAACTGAGGATTGACTTGTAGGAGGGATTTGATTTGTAGAAGTTTGGTTATTAAGGGAAGTGGCTGATTTTCCATTAGTAACTGTGTCAAATAAAGAACTAGAAGCAACAAAATGTTTGTTGAAACAGTTCAGGATCTTGTGCTTATTTGACACAGGAACAGAGTTAATGAGAAGTTGTGATGGGAGGTCAGATGATTGGGGGGTGCCTGAGAGAGATTTGATGGTTTTCCAGAATCTGTTGGGATTATTTAGATTTTTGGAGGTCTCAATCTACCCAGAGGGATCACCACTAGGATTATGGCTAAACCCCACTGCAGCCTCTCCTTTAAGGGGTATAAAGAACTAAGTCTAGCACTTGGGTGTTACCCAGAGTGACCTTAGGTTAGTTCTACTTAAGGCTGTGTTGAAGATGACTCACCCAGATTGTTAACGACCTCTATCTATGAGTCACACCCTTATTTCACCCAGTGACTCGCCCAACTTAGCAGCTGGAAGTAGATCGTCATTCACAGGGAAAACTCATATTCAACGGCTGCTCATCCTCGGTTGTAGAAATGCAATTGTTACCGATCAGGTATTTTTTTAGAATCTAGGCATAAGATTTCAGGATGTTGTTTAATCAAAGCTGAGAAACCTTTAAAACCCTTCTCTTTCTGTTAGAATTGAACCAAGCTTTCCAAATCCATGACTACGAAGTGTAGAAATGATAGTCCAGAGTTTCACATTTCATGCTTTGCTTTAATTAATGATTTGCAGGGGTACAGTGTTATCAATACACTATAAATGGTTACATTCAATTATTCAATAAGATCAGTAATAAAGAGTCTATGCCTGGTTCCAGGAAGTATCCTATTGGTAAGATGGGACGTTCAGGGTACGGGGAGTCCACTAAGGTGATGCTCTCCTGGCTCCAATGAGCTGAGTTAAGGGATCTTGAGCCCTGGAGCATTGGTGGTCCACTAAAGAGCAGCCTCCTCTTCTTGGAATGGACTGTTATGCATTTGGAGCCTCAAAGCATATCAGATCCCCAAAAACCCCTAAGACTGTCACATGAGCCAACCAGATTTCTAACTAAACTGTTACAATCGACCTTGACAGCACACAATTTATGTGATAACTTTTCAAGAAGGCTGGAAACAGGATAATACTCTCTTAGTCTATCCTTTTTTATTCATTAGTAACCACTTATGAACCTCTGAAAAGAGATCCAGGAAGTGGTTACAAGAAGAAGTTAATAGATTGCCTGAAAAATTTGGAGCAGGACAAGGCTATTGACCGTTTTCTGTACCACAGATTGTACCCAAGGGAGGCCACACCTAGTCTGTATGGTTTACCTAAAATCCACAAACAAGGTGTACCTTTAAGATCAATTGTTAGCATGATTAACTCTGTCACTTACAATGTTTCCAAATATCTGGCATCTGTACTCATCCCTTTAGTTGGCAGCTCAGAACACCACATACAGAACACCATGGACTTTGTGGATAAGGTGAGGGATGTCATCATGGAGACTGATGAAACAATGGTCTCTTTTGATGTCACATCACTCTTTACGTGCATTCCTGTTGATGATGCAGTAGAGGTGGTCAGTTTAACATTAAAACCAGACACCACTCTGAGCAGCAGGAGCACGCTTTCCACAGAACAACTGTGTCAACTCTTGAAACTGTAAGGATGGTATCCCTCTGTCAGTCTTGCTGTGTCTGTACTTCCTAGTGTTTCTCATTAATTACCCCGATCAGCTCCATCCACGTGTCCTCCAGGTGTTTGTGATTTGTCTCATCTAGTCTGTGTGTATATAAGCTCTGGTCTGCGTTTCGGTCATTGTCGGTGCATCGTCTGGTACAGCCCCTGGTTTGTCTCCTGTGTTCCATGTATAACTCTGACCTGATCCTGTCTGTGAGTTTTGCTGCCACATCAGCTATTTATTTTTGATTATTAAAATGATTATTATTTTACGTCCTGGCCTCTGCGTCCTGTCTGCACATGGGTTCGTTCTTGTTCAGCTCAACCTGAAAATCCTGACAGTATGCACCAACCAAAATCAGAACCCAGCAGACAGAATTCCTCGACCTCGCTTACCTGTTCTCTTGAGCCCACGCAGATGGAGGAGATTGTGTTCCGGTGTGGCGGTTTCCAGATCCAACCCGTGCCGGCACAAAGAAGTGACTGCCAGGAGGTGAAAATCCTCCCTTCTCCCCTCCTGGTCCTCGAAGAAAAGAGAAGGTCCTGGCTACGGGGAGACTGCGTGAACCATGATTACAGTTCCTCCTCATCCTCAGCTCCGTTCGGCTATTCGGGGTGGACGTCGGGAGAAGATGCAGAGCCGGAGGACGAGTTCTGCTCCATTCTTGCCCCTCAGCCTTCTCGCCGCCGCCAGAGTGGCAGAAACCGAAACCGGAAGCGGTCCATGGAGCTCGTTCCGGCACCTTCCACGTTGCCGACCCGGCTCGGTAGAGCCGAGCTTCCAGAAGACATTCCTGGTGCTGCAGTGGAGACGGATTCTGTCGCCTCACCTCCCAGGGTTCCGGTGAGGGCAGAGTCCGACGCTTCTCCGTCGCTCCGGGTCGCTCCTGCTCGGTCCAGCGAGACTGAGCTAACGGAAACCAGTCCCGATGCCTCTGCGAGGGCGGGTCCCGTGGCCTCACCTCCCAGGACTCCGGTGAGGGCGGAACCCGACACCCCACTGTATTATGAAATTCTTTATCAAAAGGGTTCGTGAACGATCGGCACAAGATATTCAGACGAGGGAAAAATAAAACACAGAGGCTGTTACTGCTAGGAATAATAAGTGTCATTTATTAACCTGCCACAGAAAACAGCCAAGCAAAAACATGTACACTCGTACACTCTTAACACACAAAATGATATGAAAGAACTTCTCACCGTGACACTGGCCGGGAAGTCGTTTTCGACCCAGGTAAAGAAGAATC